TCACTCTGGCCAAAAGGCAGAGGAGAAAAGATTAGGTAAGGCTGTTAAAAGCGACAGAGCTCAGGTGAGATGGGATCAAGGTTGACGAGGAATAGGGCACAGGACAGATTTGGGTCTGTGCCGATGAAGAGAAACCTGGAGACTGTTAAGTGAGACTCCCTTGTTGTGGGGCTTTGAGGGTGGTGAAGGGGAGGGAGGCACCTTGACTGGCTCTGGTTTGGGTGCAAGGAACTCCTGGGGGAAGATGCTGCATTAAACACTTCTGTATCTTGGATGTGGGCATCCAAGTGGCTGTGCCCAGCAGGTGGCAAGAAAGCTGTGTATGGATGCCAGTGCTCATTTTGTAATCCTAGCTACTCAAGAGGTTGAGATCAGGAGGATCGAGGCTTGAGGCCAGCCCAGGCAAGTAGTTCATGGATCCCATCTCCCAAATAACTAGAGCAAAATGTACTGGAAGTGTGGCTCAAGAAGTAGAGTGCCTGCTTTGCAAGTGTGAAGCCCTGAGTTCAAACCCCAGTCGCACCAAAAAAAAAAAAAAGCTGTGTCTGGCTGGATGTGGTGGTTCATGCCTAAATCCCATGTACTCGGGAGGCAGAGGTAGAAGGATTGAAAGTTCAAGGCTAGCTATGGCAAAGTTACCAAGACCCCATCTCAAACAAAATCCAGCTGGAGGCATGACTGAAATGGCAGAGTGTAAGACTCTGAGTTCAAATCCCAGTTCTGCAAAAAAAAAAAAAAAAAACTGGGGGATGTAGCTTAAGTGATAATAGAGCACTTGCTTAGCATGTACAAGGCCCTACATTCAATCTGCAGTATTGGGGGAAAAACAAAAAACAACAAAAAACACCTGAAATTCCTTCTGAAATTGTGGTAGTAGCCAGACTTGTAATTCTGAGGGGAGCCCCTAAGGCTATTACTTTGTACCTACCCGCATAGAACAGTAGTTCAGTTCCCAAGAGGTAGGAATGTAGACTGCCTGCCAGATGGGCACAGCTACTCTCTTGAGCCTTGATTTGAGTCTGACATGATGGGAGGCAGAGAGCAGTGGGGGACCCCAGGTCAGGCTTAGTTAGGCATGGGGAGCAGGGGAGACCCGCCCAGCTTGCTAGGAGGCTAGGTGCTTGGACACGAGCATGGGGCTAGTTACATGGACTCGTGGACAACTGAGAAGTGGCCCTGCCTAAGTGGTGGAAATAGCCTGACTGGTGGGGTGGGTCAGGCTCCATGGATTGATCCTCATTACCTATCCACCCTGGTCACCGCACAAAGAAGGTGTCCAGAGTAGTGACAGACCTTTTCCTTTGCAGAGTTACTCTCAGAATTTGTGTCTTTTGGCTAAGTGTTTCCTTGACCACAAGACGTTGTACTATGACACAGACCCCTTCCTCTTCTACGTGATGACAGAGTATGACTGCAAAGGCTTCCACATTGTGGGCTACTTCTCCAAGGTCAGCACTCACCCAGGCTGTCCCTTAGTCCTGCTCTGAGCCAGGCCCTTCCCTCACACTCAGCTGCCTTGTGTCTTCCAGGAAAAGGAGTCCACAGAAGACTACAATGTGGCCTGCATCCTGACCCTACCTCCCTACCAGCGCCGGGGTTATGGCAAGCTGCTGATTGAGTTCAGTGAGTATGTGTGCGCCTGGACAGGGGCTGGAGGGATGAGTAGGCCTGATTGCCAGTGCACCCTCATCTTTTTCCCATGTAGACATGTTGGGTGGCTGTGATTCTCAACCCTGGCTGTACAGCCCAGTTACCAGAGTAGCCAGCCAGAGATAGAGGTAGGACTTCCTCTCCTTGCTTTCTGGAGTAGGTTGTAAGCACCACCCAACTTTTCCCAAATCGGGCTCATCTCTCCTGCTAGGAGCCCTAGGCAGCTTACTGATCTTTTTGCTCATCATTCTGGGCCTGTGCCACAGCATACCTTCATGTCCCCAGGCATTCCCTGAACCTTGCAGTAGGTGTTCAAAAGGCTGTTAACCCAGGGCCAGGTGTGGTGGTACACACCTGTGATCCCAGCTGTGTGGAAGGCATTAGGTAGGAGGATTGCTATCTAGACCAGTCTGGAAAAAAGGTGCAAGACCCTATCCAAGAAATACAGCTAAAAAGAGCTGGGGGCATGGCTCAAGTGCTTGAGTACCTGCCTAGCAAGGGTGAAGCCCTCAGTTCAAACTCTAGTACTGAAAAATATAAAAAAGTTATTAACTCACCAAAAAGATGTAAGGTGGATTGTGCTCTGCTCCTTTATTCTGTCAGGTCCACTAAAGCCCAGGAAGGATGCTGCCCTTCCTCGTACATGGGCTCTTCAGTGCCCTCCCACCCCCCAGCTGAGACCATCTTTTCCTTCCTCGTCTCACCTAATCCCCATTCACCTCACCCCCAGAGTAACCAAGTTCTGACCCAGGAGTCTGGAAGTCTTAGCTGTTTACCTGATGAAGACAACAGTTGCTTGACCTGATCAAGGTCATAGTCCATTTGAGATAGTTTATTGATTGAATGGTAAACCAAGATATTATCATATCTATCCTCAGGGAACTCAGCTTAGTAGAGCAGGTTGTACACAAGGAAACTTCGTCAAGACTTCCATGGTGATGGAACATTGGTGGGACCAAACAAGGTGGGCTCACTTCTGTCCAGCAGGGCACCAGCAGCACCATTTCAGACAGTTCACAGGGTGGGTGTTCATTGGGGAAGCTACAGGGTGCTCCCTGTAGCTGTGGGGATGAGTATGGCCTGCAGCGGATCTGTCAGGACTCTGCATGCAGTGTGGCTCCAGCAGAGCTGAGTGGCACAAGTCTGCCCCCTCCCCCACTTCTTCCTCTCTGCAGACACGTCTCTCTGGCCTTACCATAGGGTGCTTGGTTAAAGTTACAGGAGACTGCAGGAGCATAAGACTGGCCAATACAAATGCAGCAAGGGTGGGAAAGCAGAAAGGTTTAAGATGTATTATGAGGCCAGTTATGGCCGAGGGTGAGGAAAGGTTTCTGTGAAGTTGCAGGGACACATCAGGTCCTTGACAGGAGAATGAAGATCCTACCAAGAAGCTGCAAAACCATGCAGCTCTGCAAGGTCTGGGGGTCACCAGCAACTGCCTTGCAGTGCCCAGTGGCCAACACAAGCAGAGAGAGGGCTCCTGTGGAGGTCAGTTATCTGACTTTGAGGAATGGCCTTCCTCAGACTTAAAAAGCACCTTGGTGCACTTTCCCATCTTGTACCCTGACAACTGCACTGGCCACCTTGGGTTTAGAGCAACTGACACTCCCAAGGTCATGGCTAGGGGAACTAATTTCACTAAGAGTTCAAGAATCCTCAGGCCTGGGAGGGGGTGGGGGCAGGGGGGAGAAATGAACCAAGCCTTGTATGCACATATGAATAATAAAAGAAAAATGAAAAAAAAAAAAAAAAGAATCCTCAGGCCTGTGCCAGAAGTGATGGATGATCTCACTTCCCTCAGGTCCCTAGTCATATAGGCTGGGATGGCAAAGGAAAACTGGTGGCAAGTTCTTTCCATAAGCCATTGCCTCTGCATTTCACCCACCCATGAGCCTTTACTGGTTTCTGAGCACCTTGGATTGTAGCTGCTGCTGAATGCCTTCAGCACCTTCATCTGCTCAGCTTGCAGGTGAAGAGTGAATACCCACTTGACCTTTAGGAGGAAACTGAGGGACAGAGCAGAGGAGCCACACCTGAGGTTACCACTACCAAGTATGAGGGTCAGGATTGCTTCTGTGCATACTGACCACTTAACCCACCCTCTCCTACTCCACTGCTTTAGGCTATGAACTCTCCAAAGTGGAAGGGAAGACAGGGACTCCTGAAAAACCCCTCTCGGATCTTGGCCTCTTATCCTATCGAAGTTACTGGTCCCAGACCATCTTGGAGATCCTGATGGGGCTGAAGTCGGAGAGCGGGGAGAGGCCACAAATCACCATCAAGTGAGCCTGGCTCTGCCCACCTGGGGGTGCATGGCATGGCCTGTTCCTGGGGCTCCTGGGGAACTCCAGATGAAGGCCCTCGGGACCTGACCTTTGCCCTCCCACAGCGAGATCAGTGAAATCACCAGCATCAAGAAAGAGGACGTCATTTCCACCTTACAGTACCTCAACCTCATCAACTATTACAAGGTAGGAGGTGGGCCAGGGGAGATAGGCAAGAGGGGTGCAGGTTGCAGGCCCTGCATGGCTAACTGTTGGGCCCATCTCTTGTCCAGGGCCAGTACATCCTCACTCTGTCGGAGGATATCGTGGATGGGCATGAGAGGGCTATGCTCAAGCGACTCCTTCGAATTGACTCCAAGTGTCTGCACTTCACTCCCAAGGACTGGAGCAAGAGAGGAAAATGGTGACCAGGCACTGCCCACTGCAGCACCATGAGAGCTGGATGAACTGGGGCTGGCAGCCCACTCTGCCCCCACTGGGGCTCCCGAGAGGCATGCCAAGGGAGACAGGGCTGAGGACAACTCCAAAAGAAAGGGTCAGGTCTGGAGGGGCCATCTGGTGGCCTGCACCAAGATGAACTCAGGGCTGGGCTAGCTCCAAGGTCAGCTGGCTTAAGGCCCAGGCCCACTCTGAACCAGGGACCAGATGGAGCCAGGCAGCTGTGTACAGTAAGAGTGGGGTGGGGGCAGTCTGTACAGAGGGCTGCGGATTGTAAAAATTTCTTTTGTAAAGTAGGAGCTGGGGATGGAGTGAGTGCTAGCTGCAAAATTCTGGCCTCTTGCTTCCATTGCTTCCAGCAATAAACTGTCTCTACAGGGCAGAGCCATTGAAAGTTCTTCTGGGAGAGGGAATCATGCTGGCTTTGGGGCACCAAGGTGCCCACAGACTTACAGGTGACATCAAAAGCTCATTTATTGGGATGAAGAAATCAGTGGCTCCAAAATGAAGAGCAGGGTTATTGGCGTGAAGGAATCTGTGACTTTCACTGTCAAGCTCTGGTTCTCAGTCCTCAGGCACCTGTGCGTGAATCTGCAACAGGAGTCACCTGCACTGTGGTGACTTGTAAGATACAGTGGCCTACATACATACCCAGGGAGGGACGAGGCTGCTCAGAATGATACGCGTAAAAGGCCAGGGAGACGGGTGGGGAAGTCACGCTTCCCAACCACCCAGTCTGACCTTCCAGAGTCAGCCAGGCCCACGATGCTCCCAGCGCGAACGCCCCAAATCCACGAGGGGCGGGATTCGGGGAGGGGGAACGGACGAGGCCCGGGTGTTTGTACTCACCGCTGCAGCGAGGCGGGGCCAAGCGAGGGCCCCGTGCACTTTGGCGTCCGGGCCAGGGACGCTCTCCAGGCCCCACAGGGTGAAGCGGTTGAAGCTGCCGGTGGCTCCGATAAAGCGATCCTGGAAAGGGGCCGGCTCAGCATCGGCCGCCGCTCCCGCCCGCACCCCGCGGCCTGCCCTATCCCTTTGCTCACAAAGTCGCGCTCCAGCGCCTCCGGGCTTTCCGCCGGCTCCCGCTCTTCCTCGCCGCTCTTCCTCGCTTCTGCCCTAGGGAAGCCCTGCTTCCCCATCAGACCCTCTCCCTTCTCCTCCGTCAACATCACGTATCCCGCGAAGCCTGGCGGCACGGTCACCTCCTCGCCCCGTAGACTGCGGCCCCGAAACGACACCTGGAGTCCTACAGGAGAGAATCGCAGAGCCCCAGTCAGGACTCCTAGGGGCCCAGGGCTGCGGGCGGCCCTCCCGGCCCCAGCAGCGAACCACCATGCCCAGGAGACCTCGCGGGGTTCGCAGGGGCTGCTGGGAGCCGGAGCAGACCCGAGGCTCACCATCGGGATTCTGGCGGATGGCGGGCGTGAAGAAACGCTCCACCGGAGCAGGCCGGTTCACCAAGACCTCGCAAGGCAGGAGGTGTAGCGTGGCAGGGGCTGCGTCGCGTAGAGTGACGGGGCGCAAGTGGATGCGCTGCTTCTCGGCCGTCTTGTCGCTGCTCTCCATTCTCTGGCCCTCTGCCCCTGAGGCCAAAACTGGCGCGTGCGGCGCGCAGGGCCTGTCGGGTAGTCAACACTACGCGCGGAGCCTCATGGGAAGCGTAGTCCTTTCCCTGACACCCCGCCAAGCCGTGCTTCCTTGCTACAAGTTCCAGCTTTTTTTTTTTTTTTTTCTTCTTTTTGCGGTACTGGTGTTTGAACTCAGGGTCTACACCTTGAGCCACTCCACCAGCCCTTTTTTTTGTGATTTTTTTTTTTGAGATAGTCCCAGGGCTGGCTTCGAATCTCCATCCTCCTGATCTCTGGCCCCTGAATAGTTAGGATTACAGGGGCAAGCCACTGGTGCCCGGCTCTTTAATATTTAAAAAAATGGTACATGCTTTTTGTAAAATAAATAAATAAAAAGATTCTGATTCAGTTGGCAGGTAAGTTACTTTAGTTTATTAGGGCCATCAACACTTTTCCCAAACGTGGTTTGTCATACAAATCTGTGTGCAAAAAGACTTTCTTGCTTTGCAGAAGACTTTATTTTTTGTAGTCAGGTTTATCAGTCTCCTTTTATTATGTCTTTTATTTTTGCAATACTTTTTTTTTCTTTTTGGCGGTACTGAAGTTTAAACTCAGGGCCTCACGCTGGCTAGGCAGTCGCTCTGCCACTTCAGTCACTCCACCAGCCCTGCAATAGTTTGTTTTAAAACTCGTCTATAATGTTTATTTGTTCACACACCCAACTTTATATATTGGCAAGTTTTTCCATACAAAACTGGAACTTTGGATTAAAATTGCATTAACTTGCACATTTGAAAAAGAAAAGCATCCCTAGCCCAAGTGTTCTGTAGAGGTGTTGATTTTTATATTTTAATGGTTTAACCAGATGCCTAATGAATAACATTTTGTTGTTCCTAGTATTTTTTATTTAATTTTCTTGGGCTCCCCAGAATTAGTCATCTCTCAAATATTGATAATTTTTCTTCATTAAATCTTGTGATTTATTTCTAGTAATCTTAGTGTTCTGTTGAACATAAACAATTTCTCAGAACATCAACATCAGACTGAGCAAGGATATCTTCAGACTAATGCTCTCCCAACTGAGCTATTTCAGCTCAAGGGTATCTTAAAGAAAGACACTCATGAGGGAGGGACACAATGAAAATGACTCCTGGGGACAAAAAGTGTCTACAAAGAAAAATACTTATCTCAAAATGGACATCTGTCTTGAAGGGAGCGTCTGGCGGTATCCACCCTTTGATTAAGGGGATGTTCAAACATCTATGTCATAGTGACCCAAATTTAATGAGCTGGCCAACCTTGGAATCTTTGGGTCATTTGGTAATACAGTGTAACAACAAAAGCAGCTAATTACACCAGTTGTCCAGACCAAAAGGAGCCGTTTTCCCAAGGTAAATTCAAGCCAGAGCCCCAACCCACTTTTTCACCATAAATACCCACATTAGAGCACTGGTTGCACCTGTTATCAGATGTGCTGCACCCATGTCTGGTCTGTGTAATGTGTTTCTACCTTTCCTTTCCTCCCCACCCCTGCTCTGCCCTGACCTCCCCTTCCCTTTCCTTTCCACTCAGGGCCTCACTCTTGCTGGGCAGGGGCTCTACCACTTGAGCCACTCCCCCAGCCCTTTTTTGTGTTGGGTACTTTCCAGATAGAGTCTCACTAACTATTTGCCCAGGTTGGCTTCAAACCTCCATCCTCCTGATCTTTGTCTCTTGAATAGCTAGGATTACAAGCGTGAGCCACAGGTGGCTGGTTGCTTTACTTTTCTAACACTTTCTTAGTCTCTACCTCAGTGTGTTAAAAGTCTTTTTTGTCACAACATCAAAAACTCAGTACCCAAGGCCACTTCTCTTTTGGAGACCTCCTCCCTGGAGTATCTCCAGTTCCAGTAAAAAAACAAATCAAAACAAAACAAAAAAAACTCCATAATCATGTGTGACCACTGGTGAAACATAAGCGTTGTCTAAATCACAAAGCTAATGAAAGATCTCCTTTCTCCAGTAGCGTTGTGACTGTTGTTTCTCTGTTAACTTCAGTATCGCCTCCATTCAGCCTTTTCTCCTAGTTAAAATTTGTTGAGGTCTCCCAAAGGCATCCAATCCAGAGAAAAGCCCTGCTTCCTTAAACCCAAATCACTAAACACAGCACAAATCCGTCAGTCCTAACCCCTATTACTGAGTTGTGCCACAGTGCAAAGGTAACACAACCTCTGGTTCATGTGGCTCAGACCTGCAATCCTAGCTACTCAGGAAGATGGATCATGGTTCAAAGTCAGTTCTGGCAAATAGTTTGCAAGACACTGCAATCCCATCACGAAAAAGGCTGGTGGCGTGGCTCAAGGCCTCCAGTACTGCAAAGAAACAAAAAACAAAGAAAATCACGAAAAAGGGCTGGTGGGCTGGCTCAAGGTGTAGCCCCTGAGATCAAACCCTAGTGCTGCCAAAAAAAAAAAAGAAAAGTGCAAGGCTCTGAGTTCAAGCCTCAGTACAGCTAAAAAAAAAAAGAGGTAATTTCATTTATTCATGTCTTCTTTTATGTCTGTACAGTTGTGAAATTTCTATCATAATAGGTATATATAGTAATATATAATTATACAATATTTAATTATTTCTAAATAATTTATATGTGTTTCTATTAAGAATTGGGTCTTTTTCATTTTATTTTCTAATTATAGTAGGGATTGTTGAACGTTTTCTGTAAAGTGCCAATGAGTAAATATTTTTTCTTTATTTCCCAGTTTTTAAAGTAATGAAGTGGGGTGTAACACAGCCGTAGAGCATACTTATCTGGCATGAGAGAGGCCCTGACTTCTATCCCCACTGCCACCTCAGATAAATAAACAAATGAATAAATGGAATAATGAGTTATTTTCCTAGCATATTCCAGTGGTGACCTTCTAAAAAAGTGTCATTAACTGATGGATTGTCAACATTTTGATGAGTTTCACTTGACCATGGTCAAATACTTTATTATTTGAGTTATAAATTATCCCATCTTTTTTTTTAATTGAATAGATCCATACCAAATTTTTCATGATACTGGGAATGAACTCAGAGCCTCACAAGTGCTCTAGCACATGAACCATGCCCAGTCATTGTTTCTTTTTTTTTTTTTTGCAGTACTGGGGGTTTGAACTCAGGGCCTTCACCTTGAGTCACTCTACCAACCCAATTTTTTGTGAAGGACTTTTTCGAGATAGGGTCTCATGAAGTATTTGCCCAGGCTGGCTTCAAACCCCGATCCTCCTGATGTCTGCCTCCTGAGTAGCTGGGATTACAGGTGTGAGCCTCTGGCATCTGACTTGTTCCATCTTTTGACCATGAGGATCTCTTCAAGTTAACTCCTGAATCCTGAGGGGACCCTACTAGTCTTTTCTAGATTAACTTGTTCTCAGTTCTCGCTCATTTCATGTTTCCTGCCCTGTACTTGGAGCCATCCATTTCTTCAAGGACTCCTGGTTCCTTTTAAAACTTTTTTTTTTTTTCTGGTGGCTCTGGGGTTTGAACTCAGGGCTTCTCACCTGCAAGGCAGGTGCTCTACCACTTGAGCCATGCCTCCAGCCCAGAAATATGTATTTGCTTCCTTACAAGTAAAATACACCCTAAGTTTATACTTACTTCTTTTAGGATGGGATTTTCCTACTCTGAAAAACCTCACTTCTCAGTGTCTTTGTTTCACACTACACACATTACAATCAGAATAAAAATAGCAACACTACAACTAACAATGGGATTACCAAACCAGTTTAAGAATTATTTTTGGCTGGCCAACAGTGGCTCATGCCTACAATCCTAGCTACTCAGCAGGCAGAGATCAGGAGGATAGAGGTTCAAAGCCAGCTCCAAGCAAAGAGTTTGTGAGACCCTATCTTGAAAATACCCAATACAAAAAAAAGCTGGTGGAGTGGCTCAAGCAGTAGAGCACCTGCCTTGGAAGTGTGAGGCCCTGAGTTCAAATTCCAGTACTGCCAAAAAAATTATTTTCGTAGTTCTTTTTGTCCATGGGCCTATTCTGCTAGGAATGCACAGATTGCTATTTTGTGTTTTTTATTTTTACTTTTTTTGGTGCAGGGACTTGAACCCAGGGCCTTTGTATAAGCTAAGTATGCACCCTACTGCTGAGCTATGTATCTTCAGCTCCCAAATTACTATTTTATTTGTTTTTGCCATAACAATTCTCTTAAGTACATATTAATTATACAATGTGGGGGATTTTGTTATATTTCCATATATGCATATAATATTCTTTGATTATATTTTCCTCCTCTCAAATTAGCGCTTTTTTTTTTTTAGGTAGTGAGGTTTTGGACTCAGGGCCTCACTCTTGCTAGGCAGTCACTCTACCACTTGAGCCACTCTGCCAGCCCTGTGTTGGTATTTTCGAGATAGAGTCTCAAGAATTATATCCGTGGGCTGGCTTCCAACAGAGATGCTTCTGATCGCTGCCTCCTAAGTAGCCAGGATTACAGACGTGAGCCACTTGCACCTGGCTCAAATTCTTTTTAAAAGTCACTTGAAATAATTCTCTCTGTGGTTATGCCACCAGCAGGATTAGCTTTATTTTGCTTTTGACTTTGAAAGATAGTTGTTTAAGTTTTAACTTTTGTTTTATAAGTATGTGATTATTTACATGCTTTCCAGGTTAAATCTTCAGAGTAAGATGCACTCAGGGAAAATTAGTTATTTGCCCTGTTTCTTCCACTTCATTCTCTCCTATCCTAAACCCTTTAAAAATATTTAGTTTATCTTTCTGTTGTTTACTCTTTTAAGGTATTAGCATAAATTTATGTATATTGAATTCAATTTGCTAATACTTTGTTGAGAATTTTTGCATTTGTGTTCATTGGCGACATTAATCTGTAGATTTCCTGTCTTGGAATGTCTTTATCTGGTTTTGGTATGAGGAGAATACTGGCCTCATAGAATGGATTTAGGAATTTTTCCTCTGCTATTTTCTGGAAGAGATTGTAGAGAACTGTTACCATTTCTTTCTTAATTTTTTTTTTCACCAGTAGAATGCACCACCGCTGGTCCTTTCTTTTTGGGAAGGTTATTGATTATTGACTCAGTTTCTTTAATAAATATGGATTTATCCAGATGTGTTTCTCCTTATGTAAGTT